CTTTAGAGCTTGAATTCTATATATGATTAAACATATCTAGAAAGGTTTGTAAAGGGGTAAGGAACCTATTCTGGATACAATTACGGAATTCTGTCTCAAAACCCCTCTTTTGTCACTACTTTTGTTGTGCTAATGGCAAAGTACAATTACTACCTTTACTTGAACCTCCATCCTATCTATTAAATCTTTATACTTTAACTAATTCTGATGCAGTTAAGTTTTGTAAATATGCTAGAGGTTATAATAGTGCCTTAGCTTGTATATCTTTTGGTGCTAATATAAATAACCAATTTTTGGAACATGGTATATCAAATTTTCAAATTCATGATCAAGTTTATCATTTAATTGGATCATTATTACCAAATGAAGGTCACACACTAGCATTTGCTCAAATATATATTTATGATACTGCAAATAAAATTACAAATCATTATAATGTAATGCAGGAATTAAATGAAAATATTTTACAGAGTTTACAAAATATATTAGATATTTGCAACCCATATATTCAAAATTTTTGTCAAATAAGAAATATTATATATAATAATGCAACTACTAAAATTTCAATAATAATTCATAGTGATAGAAATCAAAATATTTGTTGTTATAATGCTTCATTAGCTCCTGATATAGCTGCAATAATGGTAGGTGATAGTCATGAAGTAAATCTAACAAATCAGGATATTCTTCTTAGAACATGTAATAGAAATTTGCAAAAAATAGCAGAGGTCCATTCTTCATATGATTCACTTTACTATGTATTATTATTCCCTAAAGGTGATATCACTTATAAGTGCTTTAAAAAGAGAATGAGTAACAACTATCCAATTTTATGCTTATAGATTACAAATTAGAGATAGTGATTAGATACAGCATGCTAGCCATTTATATCAACAATATATTGTTGATCAGTATGCTAAAATAAAACAAAATTGTTTAATTTATCTTAAGTATAATCAAAAATCACTTTGTACTGAATTTTATTAAGGTATTATGGATGCGGTACATGCTGGAGATTGCAGTAATACTATTGGTTATCATATAATTCTTCTATCATCTTTTACAGGTGGACTATATCAAATATATTAATTATATCAAGATGCAATGGCAATTATTACTTATTTTGAAAAACCAGATCTTTTTGTTACATTTACATGTAATTCTAAATAGCCAGAAGTTACTATCTTATCAAAATGCTGCTGATAGGCCTAACTTAATAGCCTGTGTTTTATATAAAATTACAAGCACTATTAAAAGATTTGTGTAATAATCATTGGTTTGGTAAAGTTATTGTATATGTATATATAGTATATCAGCAAAAATATATAAGTGTAAATTTTTGTAAGTTTTATAATATGTAAGAAAATCATAAACTTATGTAAAAATATTATGCAAATTTACAATTTTCTTATGATGCGTAAGAAAATCGTAAATTTATATAAAAATATTACACAAATTTACACTTTTCTTACAATGCATAAGAAAAGCGTAAATTTACATAAATATATTACACAAATTTACGATTTTCTTATGCATCGTAAGAAAAGTGTAAATTTGTATAATATTTTTACGTAAATTTACGATCTTCTTACGTACTGTAAAAACTTACGAAAGTTTACGGAAGTTTAAAAATATTTATAATGCACTATTCAAATTATTAGTCATAACGATAAATCACTTGATTTATATTTTTTTGTAACTTCGCGAACTTACGAAATTTTACAAAGATTTAAATTGATTAATAATTTTTTTTAAATAAATCAATAGCAGGATGCAAACTTG